TCGAATCGTGCAGGCTTCTACATATCCAATCAACTTCTTATTTTGCTGTCCACTGATAACTTTAAAGGACCTATAGGTATCAATATCATGTCCATAGACCACTAGATGCTTCGTTATCGAGCTCCTTGGGGTCTTCTTTTCGGTATGTGCTCAGCCATTCGGGTGGACAGACGCCTCTCCGTACGACCAATGTATTTGCTTCCGCAGGTACATTCAAATTGATATATGCATTTAGATGTGTTGAGGATTGGAGTACTGTCTTTCCCTGATTGCTGCAATACCCTTTTGGTAGTGCTAAGAAGAACCAGTTTAGCTGCGTACTAAGTCCTTCCGATAGACTTCTCCAGTCTTCGTCTAACTACCTCTAGCACGTCGTCACCTTTGAATGGCAAGGTGACATAGGCTGGTTCCTTCTGCACTGTTGCGGCCGTTGTTCTGCTCCCTACCCACTTTGCGTGCTTGTTGAAAAAGCTTTCTGGGTACCCTTTCTTCACCAGCACGCTTTTCAAAGTCCCTATTTCGTAGTCTAGTGTGCTGTCGAAACAAATTTTCCTGCCTCTGTTACACAGCGTTCTAATTACATTCACTTTGTATTGGATCCGAACAAAGCTCCTAAAATGAAGCTATTGTCCTGTCCAAGAAGGTTTCCTATAGATGGACCTTTATATAGATCCATCGATCCTCTGGATTACCATTTGACCTGTAAAAAACTATTCACTTCTATGTTGTTACACCTAAATCTGTCTCAGTCTACGTTATATATGTATGTATGTACGCTCAAGTATGTAGAGTATCATCCAGCTGACGAGTACTACTGAAATGTATGGAGTCATAAAAATCCTGTTTTTTTCACACTCGTTGCTTGTTTTAAATTTGTATCAGGAAACAAATGTTTTCAAGTTAAGGAATTTACAGTACAGTAAAAAAAAATTGATAAATAAAGAGGTAAATAGATTTTTTGGTTGGTGAAATCATCTTTGAACTATAGAGATACAAGAAAATATGAGTATTCTGCATATACCATCAAAGACCCATTGATTCATTGCAGTAAACAAATCAACGTGTAATTACAACACGTGTCTCTAGTGTTTCAGGAACCTAGTGAACGATGCTTTGATGTCCAAATTGTTGAATGTTGGACTCGAGTCCAGGTGAGTACATCAAGTCCCGAAAGACCGAAAAACTTATATTTTAAATTTACCTTCAAGTCATCACCATGTAATAATTGGAGTTATAAGTATGACTAGATAGAAAGTAATTATACTTTCCTAGGGTATAGAAATGAACTTGCTAACTATTAATAGAAATAGTGACCAATAACTTTAAGGAAAACTGTAGTTTTTCAAACATTCTGAACATTTACTATTCAGTTTTTCTTATCGATTAGTATTACTGAATAACAGCTTAACATCTACTCGATAGAGTCTAGTAAGAGTAGTATTCAGTTCAGTTGTTTGATACTGTCAATGACCTGAATCTATGAAGATAATGACAAAATGTAAAGTATTTTAAACTCAAGTGTTGAACAGAAATTTGAGTAGGTTTAGTAATATAAGAGTAAAACTTGGGCACTAAGATCGAGTGTAATTTCATTTTAGTCTGTTTATTAGAAATATCACACACAGTGAAGGAACATAGTAGCATTTACTGGATAACGTGCTTTTCGGATACAATTTATTGTCCATATTCATATCAGATCAGGTAACTCCACAACTTCGAGACAGTCTTTATATATCCCTGTGATGACAAGAGTAGTAGAATTTTCCATATATCTGGGACAGGTGCAGAATCATTTTGATTGCCGCATGTATTCGGTGTTGATTCGATGAACAAAGATTCAGTCGGTTATCAATCTCTCCCTCCACCCAACTAAGTTGGTTTTCAACACTGTCGCCCTATCCTACCTTTCTGTGTGATTGTATGTCATCGCATGCAGAGCTAAAGCTGAGTTTTTCTCTAGATTTCTTATCTTATTAGGATCTACTGATCTTGATTTAGCTAAGTTTTTGTGCTCTGTTATTCTAATCGACCCTGCCTGGTCGACTGACTGCTTTGACCTATGTACTTGACCTCGCAATCATTGCAAGGGATCTGGTAAACCAGATTATTTTGCTTAATTGCATCGATAGGATCTTTTAACCTACAAAGCTTGCTTGTTAGTTTGTTGGTTTGAATGCCAGCCACTTTGATCCCAGCCAGCCTTATTCAGAATTCTTCATAGTGCTTCTAAGGTGCCTTCCTTATATGGTAACACAACAGGGGCTTTGAATTCTCTCTTAACCCTGTCGCCATTATCACCACCGTTAGTAGTGGGATTATTATTAATAACATCTGTATTACTACTACTACTACCACTGCTAATATTTTTCTTTCGATTTCTTATGAATTTATTTAAACTTTGGTGGGTAATTATTGAGACGTAGGGTATTCTTGATGTGTCCAATTCCTCGTCACAGATTTTCCGATCTACTAGTAAGCTTTTTCGCTCCATCACTTAAGCATTTAACTAGGCCTACTTTAACTGAAATGGAGTGGAAGGATTCGAAGTCTAAGTAGCCATTCGAATGGGTAGGTTTCCTATAGACACTAGTCTCTAGATTTCCTTCTTGTGTTCATTTACGCTCGGCTGTAGCTCTGCATGCGATGACACACAATCACACAGAAAGGTAGGATAGGGCGACAGTGTTGAAACCAACTTAGTTGGGTGGAGGGAGAGATTAATAACCGATTGAATCTTTGTTTATCGAATCAACACCAAATACACGTGGGAATCGAAATGATTGTGCACCTATCCCAGATATATGGAAAATTCTACTACTCTTGTCATCACAGGAATGTATAAAGACTGTCTCGAAGTTGTGGAGTTACCTGATCTGATATGAATATGGACAATAAATTGTATCCGAAAAGCACGTTATCCAGTAAATGCTACTGTGTTCCTTCACTGTGTGTGATATTTCTAATAAACAAGCAAAACTGATATGCTTTCTGCTGTCGAATGTAAGATGACGCTCCATGACTGTTCTGCTGTAGGTATTCCCAATTTTTTATGATAAGAAGTGAAGTGGTAGAATATGTTGACCGGTTCACTTACTCAGAGAGTTGCATTAACTGGAACAGAATGGTTACTGACGAAATCGTAGCTTGGATACAGATAGCCTATTTGATATTTGCCAACTTGTATTATCTGTGAGGCAGCCTGGTAAGATATTTGACTATCTATCAAAGGACGAGTATACTATACTGCAGTCTATTCTGTCATGTTTACGCCTGTGATACATGGCCGGTAAACGTAATCGGAATAACGATAATCACTTTATTCAAGGCAATATGCTGAATACAATATAGAAATCATTATTGTATATTAGCATCTAGTCTAGACTAAAGAGGTAATAGGAAAACGATAGAAATTTCGATGGTGGTAATTTATTACGCGATTTCACCTAGGCATACTAGGAATGGTGATGTGCTGTATTCTTGTGTATTTACAGGCCTATTTCTTTGCGGCGTAAAGTTCCTCCTTTGTTTTGTTGTTGACTTGAAGAATCACAATATTGTTACTTGTATTATCCCGTCTTTGCGTGAATTATATCCATCGGTCTCTGTTGGTATATGAGTTCCTGTGCAGATGCCTTCCGGTTACCTGTTTGTAAATTATGTATTGATGATAGATAGTGCCCACGAGTGGAATCTAGAACAAGTAATAACACTGAAACTATACCCATCACACAAGAAGCGACTGTCGTGACTTAGTGGTCAATGATAAGTTCAAGTGGTAGTGGGTGAGCAGATTACTGACTGGAAACCGACACGTACATTCAGCTGACGAGTTCATAATAAGACGAAACTTGCATCCAGCTGGTTTACAGTGCTAGCCACTATCTATCATTAAAGAACTACAGTTTAAAAACATGTTGAAAATGTACAAGAGTACATGACAGGTTTAAAAAAGATATTTAGAAGAATAAAAATATTGAAAGGGAAAATTTACTAACAAATTTTTTGATAAACTCAATGTTTAAATAGGCTGTGATAGACATGAAGATATGAAGCTATTACACGTTTCTGATCAGAGATTGTTCACGCGTTTAGTGGAATCACTGTGTTAGTAATGTCGGATAATAAGGGATACTGGGCAAGGCAACCTTCATCGACTTGAATAACTAGTGTATATGCTGAATTACCACCATCTACCTCAATATCTTATGCCAGGTGAAATTATATTTGGTTGAAAAAAAAAGATCATGGTGGCCAAACAAACATGTGACACTGGCTGATAAAGTCTCTGACTATTAGTTTGGACCCTGTTGTTACTGTGTAAAAGATCCTACATTGATTCTAAGTTAGAACCTACGAGTATGCAAGCTACTCCTAACCCTAATCCAGCCAGCCAACTTGTTTGGCAGTCATTCCTTTATTTTTCCAATGTGAATACACTTTGATCATCTATAAGAAATAGAGGATATTATTAAACAGTACTTGGTGATCATTTCATGAACAAAGAATTGTCGTATGTAGAAGGAGAAGAAGCCAAATAACAGTCCTAAACTCAAACTTCATAAAGTAGGAGATGTGTTCAATAATTGGAGATATCATGTTGACCATCTGAGATAGCCGTGATTTGTCAGACTAACATTGGTACTAGGTGATGCTTGAAGACGAAACAAAAAGTCTGACCATGGTCAGATTTAAACTGGCGACCACCAGGTTTCCGGCTCGATGCTCTCTACAAACTGAGCTATGAGGTGAAACTGCTGACCAGATTTTTATTTTACTTCAGTCAATAAAGGTTGAGTAAAATGATAATCGATATGAGATGCTCTCCACCTCTCTAATCCAGTTAAATTTGGATTTAGATGAGAAGTCCTGACTAGACAGCCAATGTGAAAACGATCACGTTATAGTGACGTATCACGAATTTATATGGTAGTCAAGCGAAATCCTTGACGATTGCAGTGAAATAAACTATAAACACATCTACAAAGAAATAAATCACTTACTGATCTTGTTTATTTCTTACAGTCTGTTGTAAATGAGCAATTTTTGCTAAACTATCTGCTTTTTCATGTTCACATTCATCAACTAAACGGCGTAGTTGTTTTAACTCTGTATTGTACATTGAACGAATTTTTTCTGTCTCCTTAGTTACACGATTCATTGAACCATTATCATTCATTAATTTTTTATTCTGTTCTGATAAGAGACGCATCTAAAATAATTAACAAAATTATAAAAAAAAATAGATGGATTTTAGAAGTCTGAAAGTAGTAGACAAGAGGATATTTCGTCCTAGTGTGGAACTCCTCAGCAATCTGGTTGGATATTGAATTCACAACTTTCATGTTTCATAGGTGAACGTGTTAAACATTCAGCTACTGAGTTGGAGTTCAATGGTCTATAGTTTCTTATTACTGCCAGTTCGTTATGAAGTGGGAGTATCAGTCAGCATCTTCAATTGGGACCCGCTTCACTTGTGACTAGTTAACCGCATAAGTTGTACACAGCTTCGCATTCAAACTTCAGGATATTCAACTCAAAGTATGTTACGAATGAACAATATAAAATAACTAGAAAACAAAGTATTGATATGTACACGAAGATTTCGTTGTATTGATAACATATCAGTCTAGTGATGATAATCCTTGCATAATAAGTCAGCAGTCTCAAATTATCAAGGTGTAGGGTGATAATTAACCAAGGCAATTAAAACGGTAACAAGTCAAGGTGTATATAGAATAGTCAGTATGGTAGTAACTAACACGAAGAGAACAGGGAATGAATTATTATGTCAAGTGGTCAATTGTTGACAGTGATTTGAGACAAGAAGGGAAAGGGTGAAATGGCTATACAGATGTCCAAGGCGAAGAAAGAGTCTGTATGAATGAATTTCTGTGGAACACACAGACTCGGTTTGTTCAGATAAACTAAAATGGCTTCTGTTGTCTGTAAAAGAAAAACTGGTAGAGCACAGGTGACTGAGATGAGAAGGAATGTGATAAATACCTTTAGAGGCGTTGTAAATATGAAATCCGTGACCACAATTCAATGAGATGTGAGCTCCATGTAGATCTTGTTTGCTCTTTACTCAATCTTGTTGGATGGCGTTGGGTGATTTGATGACTGACTTGCCTAACTGTATGTCCAATGTAACTAGCTCCACAGGAGTAGTTGAATTGGTAAATGCACATAGAAGAAGCGAAGTCTGTCTTTGATTCACCACATCATCACCAACCAACTGTAGAATACACAGAGGAACTTTACTGCATTAACGAATCTCGTTATAGCCTTGCCTAGGTGCTGGATCACAGATTCACTGAAAAATTTGTGAACAGCGATTTCTTGGAATCTGTAGGTACTCTGGTTTTTGCATAAGATACCTTCAGATTTTCACCTAGAAACTTGTCTTAATACCCATTACTATGGAGTAGATTGCTGATAATTTAGAGTTCGCTATCAAAAGTATCATCTACCCGATGGACCAAGGCATTTGACTAAATTTCATTCTTATTACAAGGAGGTGGAATCCCGAAAATGAGTGAATTGACCAGTTGACAGTGGTTTCCGATAAAAACGTCTTTCTATAGTTCCATCCATCTTTCTTGTCAATCGGATATCTAAGAAGGTGATGCTATCGTAACTTTCTCTGTCAGTGATGAAGAGTATCGCTGAATGGACGCTATTAAATTTATTCATAAAGCCTCATTGTTGGATTTCTTCAATCTTCCTAGACATCTTTGTTTACCTGGATATCAGCCTTTTTCTGTCTACTTATTGTTTTCATACTGTTGTGAATTGTGTGATAACTAGAACTGATGCACTTGCGTGTAAACGTCTACATTGATTCTATTTGTCTGTCTTTCAATCATCACCTTGTGTCAACATCAGTTTACAAAACCATAACCATCTTAGATAGATCCGACAACAATTTCATCAAAGCTAGTTAGGATAGGCTTTATGGAATAAACTCAAAATGTGAAGATCACTATTTTGGTACCTGAATGATCTTTTCTATTTTCAAAGAATTGAAAGCCAAATGCAAGTAGGCCTGAAGGCTACCGCACTAGGTTTTACATGCAGACATCTCAGTATCCAGGTTATATCAGACAGAAATCAGGTGTAACTCGATAGCGAATGTATTGACGAACGAACGATTACATAATCCATATTCTTATGACAGCTAGATAGAATTCATATTTGAATCATGTCCAAATGAGACTTGAATACTGATTGACTCTTTTAGTTTCATCTGGTAGGTCACCAGACGGGAAACCTGAATATGGGTCGTTCGACTCTTGTATCAAACTCTGCTTATTCACAACATTTACTTCTCGCTAATTTATACCTAAACATACTGTATAGTAATGATGGACAGTGACTAGCAGTGGAATCCAGTATGTGCATTTCGTCCTATCTGGGACTCGTCAGATGGATATACCTGTCTGTCAGTGAGTGATGCTGTTCCCACTGGGTCTCGAACCCGGGACGGGTCTCTTCAAACCCCAGAGCCTTATCTATTAGACCACATGCCAACAGAGACCAGCCAATTCGATCAAGTCAATGACGATGTAATATAAGCAATAACACTAAATGTAGTGTGTTTAGAATTGATTTACTGGAATGTATAGTGAACATTTGAATATTCCAAAATTATTTACATTTGTTTTAATGAACAACAGAGGGGGATACGTTGGACCACGGAAAACAACCTAGAAGACTTGGATTTCACCAACAATGACTTGTGTCTGATGTCTTGTGGCACAAAGTCGAAGATCTACAGGCGAAAACTAACAAGTTGACAGAAGAGGCAGGGCAGGGCAGGGGAGGGTAGCGAAGACGGGACTTCAAGTGAATATAGAGAAGACAGAGGTGATGAAGATACCCAACCAACAACACCACCACCAACAGAAACAACCATCTCCAATCACCATCAATGGGAGAAGCCTAAAGGAAGTAGCCTCCTTCACCTATCTAGGCATCACTGTTTCAACTACAGGTGGTGGCGGCATAGACGAGGATGTCAAAGCCAGTCAGGATCGGAAAGACAACAAGACAGGCGTTCATTAGCTTGAAACCAGTGTGGAGATCTACTACACTCAACTCAGCATGTGCAACAAGATGCAGATTTTCAACACCAACCCAGTCAAGTCAGTGCTTCTGTATGGTTCAGAGACTTGGCGCGTTACGAAAGGGATTTCCAACAAATTACAGACATTCATCAACTACTGCTGCCTACACTGGCTCGTTAATGAAGGTCAGATGGATTACCAGAATAATAAAAATCAGCAACAAGGAACTCTAGCTTGTCTGGCAACGAACCAACAAAGCAAGAAGCTATCGCTGAAGGAATGTGCATTGTAAGGAAGTGGAGATGTATTGGATTGGGCATACACTGAGAAGGCTGATTGGGGACATCACGCTTCAGGCCAGTTGCTGGAGTGGAACGGGAATGGGAAATGACTAGTCGGGCGTCGGAGGTGATGGTGACGTGGAGGAGATGGTGCGAGGAGGAAATGAGAGGTTATGAGCAGTGGTGGAGCCAGGTTGAAAATATTTCAGAGAAGAGAGTGTAGAGGAGACGTGCTACCTAATCCCTATGTTCCATTAGGAACCCAAGGGACAAATGATGATATAATAATCATTAATGAACACCAACCTAACCATGGTAACAAGTGTGTTCCTTCTTAAAATTGATAAATAAGGTAAAGGGATTGGGAGTGACTAAAGTTTCATCCTACCTAATAAATCTTGATAAGAATTTGTTGCCTCCAGCTGATTAGGAAAACTTGGACTTAGATCTTACAAAACCAATAAGAATTTCATCGGAATTGAACAACAGGAAGTGTTGTGAGATAGATAGGACTATAAAAACAACCTAATATCAATGATCTCATTTGTACAAAATGATATAATTGTGAGACAGAATGAAGGGATTCTGTTGGACAGAATGAAAATGATAATTGCCATTGGGTGTTCTATGACAGTTAATGTTTCTTCTTGGATGTGGTCAGCTCCAACGTCATACAGAATTAAATTAGTAATGACTATAAGTAATTACGACAATTTAGTTGGTTGTATGCAACAGAGGAACCCAAGATGCGCGTTTCATCCCATTTGGGACTCATCGGTTGAATTTACCTGCACCCCAGTGACTGACGTTGTTCACAGAGAAGCTTGAATTTCTTACCTGTAGCTTCAAACACCAAGGCGTTATCCCCTATGCCATGGAGGAACGATAGCTGTCTCTTGTACAATGGGTTGTAGTTTTAACTATTTATTGATATACTTGAAATCCTCCATTGTTTCATTGGACCGGACAATTCGAACTCTGCTAGCCACAACCAACTAAATTACCATAATTGACATTCCGGCAATATCGGGTGTTCGCATAGGAGCCTATATACCAAAAGATGTCGAACAATTTGATCCAATGAAATAACGCATGATTTCAAGTATATCAGTAAGTAGTAATTTAAGTAGTTAGTTGAAAGCCATACAAGTTCAGGTTGATAATTACCACGAACCGCCAAGAGTCGAACCCAGGACCTTCAGGTTTCGCGGCCAACAGGTTACCATTGAGCCACTGAGCAAACGTCCAGCTGTTCACATTTCCTAATTCTCTCAGTTCAAAATATAACAGAACCTCCATCCATTGCTGTCGTTGAGTAACTATCGTCACTTCCAACCTTCGTGACTTGTGCTGCCAAAAATTTGAACACGAAGGCAGATACATGACGATATTATTAGATAGAGGTCCCGCTATATCGTGAACCGATAGAGGTGAGAAATATGGACCATTAGATTCCGATCCAGTGGTTTAATAGCACCTTACTGTTCACGGGAACTGAAGGTTCTGGGTTCGATTCTCAACAGGGTCATAGGCGTGCGCGGTTGAAGAGTCCCTCATTAGGAATGGTTCCCCAAATGATATCAATCCATAATGAATATCAACCTGAAATCCATAAATGAATCCTCACAAACTTCAGAACTCTACAATGGATAATTATGTTTTCTTGAAAGCTAGACAACTTTTAATTGGCCAATATTGCTAGTGAGTACATTTAAGATAGTCTTAGTTGATCCATCCTTCTATCAACTTATAGACTCAATAATGACAGAAAGATTTAAACCTTCAGTGTTTAGCTTACTAATTATGTGTTCTATTGAATAAGCTGTGAGAGTCAATTGCCACAACGTTCTCAATAACAGAAA